ATGTTACCCAGGCTGGAGTGCAATGGCACGATCTCGGCTCACCGCAACCTCCGCCTCCTGGGTTCAGGCAATTCTCCTGCCTCAGCCTCCTGAGTAGCTGGGATTACAGGCACGCACCACCATGCCCAGCTAATTTTTTGTAGTTTTAGTAGAGACGGGGTTTCACCATGTTGACCAGGATGGTCTCGATCTCTTGACCTCGTGATCCACCCGCCTCGGCCTCCCAAAGTGCTGGGATTACAGGCTTGAGCCACCGCGCCCGGCCTGAAAGATTACATTTCTGCAGAGGCCTGGAGGATGGAGACTAAAGCAACCCCTCCAGGAGGAGCATCATGCAGGAAGAACCCAAGCAGAGGTCCTGAAGCTGGAACACACTTAGCATGCTAAAGACACACAGAGGAGAACCGGGTGTCAGGGGCAGAGTGAATCGAGAGGGGAGACCCCCTTGCCTCCTTCAATTTCACCTCCTCCCTCCCCTTCTTCCAGATGGAAAGGAGAGTGAAGAAGGAAAAAAAATGAAATAAAATACGAAAGCGCTGGGAAAATGACTCCCTCTTTAGTTCCCAGCTTCTCTGCTAACTGTTAACCTTGAAAGAGCTACAGATCAATGTTATCTCTGCAGGCTGGAGCCCAGCACTGGGCCTCGCCCCCACACCTCCACGGACCAGGCTCCCTCCTGGAAACACCACTGCCAACAAACAGCTTGTTGCTTTTGTCTTGTCTCTGTGAGCCCCCTCCCCTGCTGGTCCCCGCTCACATTGCACATGAATTAGCAAATAAATGAAGCCAAAAGATTGTAAGGTTGGACGTCCAGCAAATGGACAATGACATAGTTCCGCCTCAGTTTCCCCTTTAGCATTGCAAGCCTATAAAGGGGGAGAGAAGCTGCAGCTTACGGAGCTCTGTGAATGAGGCTGTAGCCCCCCGCAGCTCCTGGCTGAATAAAAAGCCACTTCCTTCCTCAGTTCGGTGTTCTAGAGGTTTGTTCTCCGCCGTTCCTGCTTCAGAATGAGGGTCAATAGATGGAGAGACGGGCAGGGGCTAGATCACACGCACAGATCGTGACAAGGACTTCGCATTTGTATATAAGGATGTTGTATGTTCTTCGCAGGGTTTGAGGCAGAGGTGTTTAACACCTGATTGATGTTTTAAAATATGTTCTGCTCAGAATGGATTTCAGGAAGGAAAGGGAGGCAGTTAGGAATATTTATCAGATACTTTGGAAGCAAAGCTGACAGTTTTTATTTTTTATTTCAGGCAGGGTTTCCCTCTGTTGCCAAGGCTGGAGTGCAGTGGTGCGATCTCGGCTCACTGCAACCTCCATCTCCTGGGTTCAAGCTATTCTCATGCCTCAGCCTCCCAAGTAGCTGGGATTACAGGCGTGCTTCACCAAGCCTGGCTAATTTTTATATTTTTAGGAGAGATGGGGTTTCACTATGTTGTCCGGGCTGGTCTCGAACTCCTGGCCTCCAGTGATCCACCCACCTCAACCTCCCAAAGTGCTGGGATTCCAGGCGTGAGCCACCTCGCCAGTCTAGCTGACAGTTTTTAGTGATCAATTGACTGTGGGCTGGAGACTCAGGGAACGTGCCTTACCTCCGGGAATCTTCTGGATCTGGTAGGTGTTGACTCCTCCTGGTAAAGGTCCTGTCCTCAACACCAGGACCTGGCTGGGGTCACGTCCTGTGACCAAGAAACTCTGGGGGATAGAGACAAGGGCCAGCGTGACAAAGGTGTGCACAGATGCCTGTTCCTTTTGCCTGATTAGCATTGATTTCCCTTATTTTGGGTTCTGTACCCCAAATTTCCTTTAGGGAAACTCTGTACTGTCAGTGCATGTGGGTGGGGCTGATTTCCCCTAAGCCCTGGGGGTAGGCCCAAGACCTGATCTAGCCAGTAGGATTACTGTGCTCTCTGCCCACTGTTTGGTTCAGGAAAGGATATGTGACTCAAGCTCAGCCAATGGACATCTTCCACAAGATTCTTTTTTTTTTTTTTTGAGACAGTCTTGCTCTGTTGCCCAGGTTGGGGTGCAGTGGCATGGTCTCAGCTCACTGCAGCTTCTGCCTTTTGGGTCCCCATTCAAGCAGTTCTCTTGCCTCAGGCTCCCAGGTAGCTGGGATTACAGGCACATGCCACCATGCCCAGCTAATTTTTGAATTTTTAGTAGATATGGGATTTTACCATGTTGGCCAGGCTGGTCTTGAATTCCTGACCTCGTGATCTGCCCGTCTTGGCCTCCGAAAGTCCTGGGATTACAGGCGTGCGCCACTACACCCGGCTAATTTTTGTATTTTTAGTAGAGGCGGGATTTCGCTATGTTGGCCTGTCTGGTCTCAAACTCCTGACCTCGTAATCCACTCACCTTGGCCTCCCAAAGTGCTGGGATTATAGGGTGAGTCACTCTGCCCGCCCCCACTTTAAAAAAAAAATAGAGATGGGGCCTTGCTATGTTGCCCAGGTTGGTCTTGAACTCCTAGCCTTAAGCGATCCTCACACCTCAACCTCCCAAAGTGCTGGGATTACAGGCATGAGTCACCACACCTGGTCAGCCATCTGTATTTTCTGAATCAGTTGTGAAAACCTTTATTTTTCCTGTGAGATAAACAGATTCAAGTGGTGTCTCCTTCCTTCCTGCCTGGAATGCACACAGGTGCTTGGGCCTGGGGCAGCCCAGGGGCAGCTGTGAGGGAAGTCCAAGAGAATTACAGCTATGCTGACCTCCGTGTCATCGAGCTGCTGATCTAAAGCCAGAAGCCGCCTTTTTAGTTATGTTAGGAAGGTAAAATCTCATTTGTTTAATCCACTGTAGGACATGTGTTTGTTATTTTCGGTCCCAAATATCCAAAATTTCCTGCGGTTGAAAGCAAAGCCAAGAAATCGGATGCAGAGAAATTTACAAAAGTTCTGAAGTCCAGGATCTAGTCCTTCTTGAAACGACTTGTATTTTTGTTGTTGTTGTTTGAGACAGGGTCTTACTTACTCCATCACCTAGGCTGGAGTGCAGTGGCACGATCTCAGCTCACTGCAGCCTCGACTTGCTGACCTCAAGTGATCCTCCCACCTCAGCCTCCTTAGTAGCTGGGACTGCAGGCATGAGCCATCATATCCGGCACACCCGGCCTTTTTGGTCTGACCAGCTTGTGTCGTGTTCGTCGCTAGTAACGAGCAGAGTCCTGATCTAGGGTGTCATGGGAGTCAGGATGGGCCCCCAGCTGTGAGTACTCACCCCCAGTGGCCACAGCCCCACGAGGGCTTCTGCGTCCTGGGTATCCAGCTCTGGCACATGCCACACCCCCCATGTTCTCTGCAGGCGAAGAAGTGGCTCTAGGGCGCTCAGGACCCCTAGAGGGGTCCTGTCTGCTTTGTCCACCTGTGATGGGACCAGCCTGGGATGGACAGTGTCCGGGGGTCAGGTGTCAGAGGTGGGCAGTGGGACATGGAGGTGAGGTCAAAGGTACAGGAAGGGGCAAGGCAGAGGCTCAGACAGCAGTTCAGGGTTCTGTAGTGAGGGAGGTGTTGGATGGAAAGGGTTTCTGGATGTAGGGGAAGGAGAGTGCAGCCTCAGCCCCTGTAGCCCTCACCTCTCCCAGTCTGTGGGGACCTCAGGTGCCTCGTCCTCCGTCTGGGCCATCCTCAGTATGCAGGAAGCCAGTGAGTCATGGCCTGGCCTCTGGCAGGGAGGAATATAAGACTCTCAGGGCTGCTCCAGCCCCTGGGTCATGTTCCAGATATTTCCAATCAGTATCAGAGACCCTGGCCTATCAGAATGGACCCCAGAGGCTGCTTGCTGCTTTTATTTTTGTTTTTTTTGAGATGGAGTCTAGCTCTGTTGCCCTGGCTGGAGTGCAATGGTGCAATCTCAGCTCACTGCAACCCCTGCCTCCTGGATTCAAGCCATTCTTCTGCCTCAGCCTCCCGCGTAGTTGGGATTACAAGCATGCACCACCATGCCTGGCTTATTTTTGTATTTTTAGTAGAGACGAGGTTTCGCCATGTTACCCAGGCTGGTCTCAAATTCCTGACCTCAGGTGATCCATCCGCCTTGGCCTCCCAAAGTGCTGGAATTACAGGCATGAGCCACTGTGCCTGGCTAGCAGGGGTTAATTCTTTAGTCCTGGATGGTGGGGAATCTGTGGATCCCAGGAGAGAGGACAGTGTGTCTTGGGGTGTGGGGAGAGGACTCAAAACAACAGCTCTTTATTAAGTGATAGGGAATATTTGAAGATTTTAACAGCTACGGCAGCTGTGTGAATGTGGACCAGCCCTTGACAAAACTCAGTGCCTGGAAAAGTTCTTGGCCCACAGTAGGCAGTGCATACAACTGTAGGGAAATGCAATCCCCTCTTCCTCCCTTCCCATACCTCGGGGGGGACCGTTGAATGTCCTCCCCCAGTGCTTTTTAATGAAACATTTCAGGCACAGAGAAAAGCTGAAAGAATTGTACAGAAAACATCCATATGCCCACTGCCAAGATGCTAGCATGAACATTTTACTCACCCTGCTTCATCGCACATCTGTCCCTCTCTCTCCATCCACCCATCAGAGCCCAGCTCCTACCCAGGTAGAGAGTCCTATGTGGGTTATCACTTGAGGGGGGCCACTTGTCCCTGCAGCAGTCCCAGGAGCAGGAGACCTGGGTCTGAGGAGGATCCATCCATTCTTCCACCCACCCACCCACCCATTCACCCCTCCCTCCCTCTATCCCTCCCTCCCTCCTTTTCCTTCCTTCCTTTTATTCCTTTCTTCTTCCTTTCCTTCCATCCATTCATCTTTCTATCCATGTATCCATCTTGTCTTTCCTTCCATCCACCTTCCCTCCCTCCCTCCCTCCCTCCCTTCCTTCCATCTGTCCTTCCTTCCTTTCCTTTTCTTTCCTTCTATCCATCCATCTTTCCTTCCTTCCTTCTGTCCGTCCTTCCTTCCTTCCTTCCCATCATCCAATATTTATTGAATACAGGCTGGAGTCAGGTGCCTGTGCCCTGGAGAGAGGCTGATGAACAGGACAGGCCCCTCCCCTCAGGGCCTTCCATTCTTGTTTGGGGCAGGTGTAGCATATGGATAACTAGCAGCTAAACAAACAAATTAGCCTATTGACCAGAAGCCCAGGGTGCTATTAGGAAGGAGAGAGGTGGGGCGGGGGGGGAGGTGCAGGTGCCCTGCCCAGGCCATAGCAGGAAGGAGGGGAGAGGAGGGGAAAGGCAGGCACATGCCTGCCTGGGTACCGTGGCAGGGGAGGAGGCTGTGGGCGGTGCTGGGAAGGGGGGCAGCTGCCTGATACCAAAGGGAGGCAGAGGGGCTGAAGATGCCAGATGCTCGGTCCCTGGGGGCCCTACCTGTTCTCGGAGGAGAGGCCTGCAGTGGCAGGAAGTGCAGAGAGGAAGCTGAGCAGGGGAAGAGGCGGGGCTGGGGTATCTGAAGTCAACCTTCCTCCCTCTTTCGGGGGCTCAGGCCTTCAGTGACGGGGCTTAGAGGAAGGGACACTGGCAGGCTGGGAGTCCAGGGGTCAGAGCCATGAGGGGACCGCTGTGAGGACCCTCTTGTCACCCCTCACTCTGGAGCCCGGAGACTTTCTGATTCCTCAGTGGCCTGAGATCTAACCCCTCCCTTCAGCGATTTCCCTGGCTGCCGCAGAAGAAGCAGGAGGCCAGACCCGACTGTTAGTTGTTTCTGTTTTTAATATGTCTCCAACAAGCAATGTCTTGTGGCCACCCAGCATGGGAAGTGGGTCCCATGTGAAGGGACCCACCACCCACTTAGGGAGTTGAAGGCAGAGACTCGGGAGCCCGTCTGGCTCAAACTCCCCTATGCTGGCTGTAGGTTTCATTCGGAGGCCCACAACCCCGTTGGGGTAGATTAGGTCTGGTTTACTTAGCCACAGGCCCCTGGGGACAGGAGAGAGAGTGGGGGCCCAAAGCTCCCTGTCCTGGAAGAGTTAGAAGTCCGGGGTAGGCCTGGCCCTGTGGGGGTGGTTAATGATTAGTGGAGTGGTTAGAGATGGTGGGGCTGGTAGAGACGCCTGTCCCAGCCTTGGTCTCTAGGAGGTGTTAGATTTGCTGGGGTTGGAGGGCAGGGTCGCTGGAACCCCAGTTCTGAGGGGGGAGGTTAAGAGATTGAGGGGTTGTTCTGAGCTCTCCAGACAAGAACTGCAGGTTAAGAGGGGGCCAGGCCTGGTTGGGGCTCAGCTGTCCCTGAGGGGCTGGACATCCTGCCTGGGAGCTGCAGCTGTCACTGGGGTTTCTCCCTCTCTGTCGTCCTGGCCTCCTCCTTGGCAGGTGGCGGGGACTTCCCGGGGGAAGCTGAAGTGCTGGGGTTGGGGGCCCCCGCCTCTGACTGGGCATCTATGATAGCGTGCTCCCTCCGGACAAGGTCCTCCAGCTCCTTCTGCACGGGAAAGGTCACAGAAGTCAAAGGTCACTGTGCATCATGGGGTCAGAGGACAGATGGGGCTGGGAGAGGGTCTAGGGACGGGGCTTAGGACAGGCTGGGGTTGCCTGGGTCCTCACCTTCCATCCAAGGAGCTCAGCGAGGGCCAGGCAGCCCTGTTCACAGTCACCCAGCCAGGCCACGTCCCTGCGGTTCAGCAGGAGATCAGAGTTCCCAGGCAGGCTTGCCCCTGCCCACTCCTCTCCTCTGCCTTGTGCCCTCCGTCCCACCTCACCCTGTCCCTTCCCGGCTACCCCTGACCCCAGGCAGGGCCTCACCTGTAGGCTTTCTTGGAGTCAAAGTCCATGCCTCCGCCGACGCCCATCATCATCCCCAGGAAAGGGTCCAACTGCCAGGGAGGGGGCGGGGCAGGGGTTGGGAAGAGAGAGCTGAGCGCGCCGACTTTTTATTTTTTTTTTTTTTAGGCGGAGGTTTTGCTCTTATTGCCCAGGCTGGAGTGTTAATGGCGCAATCTTGGCTCACTGCAACCTCCGCCTCGTGGATTCAACTGATTCTCCAGCCTCAACCTCCCGAGCAGCTGGGATTACAGGCATCTGCCACCATGCCCAGCTAATTTCTCATATTTTTAGTAGAGACAGGGTTTCACTATGTTGGCCAGGCTGGTCTCGAACTCCTGACCTCAGGTGATCCGCCCGCCTCAGCTTCCCAAAGTGCTGGTATTACAGGCGTGAGCCACCGCACCTGGCGGACTTTGTTTTGTTTTGTTTTTTTTTTGAGACCACCTTCCCCCACCCCACCGCCTCCTCCTCCTCAGGCCCTGGAAGACTGGCCTTCCTGTTCTGGGTTCAGCTAGTTTGAGTTGGAATTCTATCACTTGCTCAGAAGGGTAGTGGATGTCCCAGAGGCCTGGAACCTGACCCCTCTGGATTCTAGAGCCCCAGGGTCTGAGCTGAGGAGTCCAAAGTGCTGGGGTTCCGTGGCAGGGGTTCCCTCTGAGGAAGCTGGTGGGAGGGAAAGGGGAGGCAGTGAGGAGGGGGGTGTGAGGAGGGGCTCTTACCTGGCCAGCTTTCTCCTTGTTGATGAGCAGGCGCGGGGTGGAGAGGGGTGCCCTGGCGGGAGGGGGAGCTGAGGGATCAGGGTCTGTCCTGGCCCTGGGTGCCCAGCCACCCTCCCAGCTGCAGCCCCCAACCTACTTGCTGATGAGGGAGGCGAAGGGCTGCACCTGCAGGGAGGTGCCCATGATGATGAGGAGGTCCACCTTCAGGAAGTCCTGCGGGGAGGGGTGAGCTCGGGAGCCTCTGCCCAGGCCGCGCCACTGCTCCCTCCCCGGCCCCCAGCAGCAAACCTCCTTGTGCCCCCCAACAGCCAGGGAGGCAACCTTTCCTGGGCAGGGCTCAGGCTGCCCCCAAGGGGCCCAGCACAGGGGGAGGTGGGGGTTGGGGGATAGGGAGGGCGGTGTAGTGGGCACTTACTGACTGCATGCATGAGAAGAAACGAGCTGGGAGGCTCTCACCAAAAAAGATGATATCTGAGGCCAAGACAGATGGACAGAGACAGTGACATGGGGAGGAAGAGAGGACAGGTGGGGGCAGGGGCAGACCCGGAGGCTGGGATGGGAGCTGGGCGCAGCGGGGACCGGCCAGGGACACAGACCCCACTCTCCCCAGGATGGATCTGGGACACTGTTCAGAGAGACAGAGGTGGCCAGATGTGTGGGGGTGTGGCCTTTGGGAAGGGGTCAGAGGAAGGAGGGGACCCCCACCCAAATCCATCTGGGCAGGACGCTGGCCCGATGAAGCTCACCAGGCTTTACCACGCTCTGACAGTCCTCACACTTGGGCGTCACCTCCGAGAAGATCTTCCCTGGGCGTGGGGAAGGGGAAGAGAGAGAAAGCAGTAAGAGGCTCTGGCCTGGGGTCTGGAGGTCCAGCACTCCCACCCCCTCCACTGCTAGTATGAGCACATCTCCGTCACTTGGACATCTCCTGGGGTGTCCACTCTGTTTAGGAAACGCCTCTTTTTTTTTTTTTTTTTTGAGGCAGGTCTCACTGTGTTGCCCAGGCTGGAGTGCAGTGCCACGATCACGGCTCACTGCAGCCTCGCCCTCCCAGCTTCAAGTGGTCCTCCTGCCTCAGTCTCCTGAGTAGCTGGGATTGCAGGTGCATGCCAGCATACCTGGCTAAATTTTGTATTTTTTGTAGAGACAGGGTTTCGCCATGTTGCCCAGGCTGGTCTCAAACTCCTGGGTCTCAAGCAAATCTGCCCACCTTGGCCTCACAAAGTGCTGGGATTACAGGTGTGAGCCACTATTCCCAGCCTTATTTTATTTTATTTTTTTTGGGCAATAGAGCGAGACTCCGTCTCAAAAACAAAACAAAACAAAACAAAAAACAAGCCAGCATTTCTGTCACTTGCAACCCACTGAATTCTAAGTCATTGGCTCGACTGTCCATCTGTTCATTCAGCACACATTTATAGAGCATTGTTTCCATGTCAGTAGTCGGGAATTTTCTTTAAACTGTTTCTGTATGGACAGCATGACACCGTGGGTGCCGCCTGTGACGGCGCTGTCAGTGACACATAACGGGGGTCATATGAATTGTACACTGCCCCAGCTGCCCGCAGTTGGGCCATTCAGGACTCCTCAGCCCAGGGGCGCTCAGCTGGTACTTCGTCAGAACAGCCGCACTCCAGAGGCCCTTCTGCAAATGCTGCAGCTGTACTTGTCCAACAGGGACACCAGTGGCTTTGTTAAATCAGCATAAAGAATGCCAGAAATGGCTTTCCATGAGTGGAATAAGTGGCTTCTTGTTTGTTTGTTTGTTTTTTGAGATGGAATTTTACTCTTGTTGCCCAAGCTGAAGTGCAGTGGCATGATCTTGGCTCACTGCAACCTCCACCTCCCAGGTTCAAGCTATTCTCCTGCGTCAGCCTCCCAGGTAGCTGGGACTACAGGTGTGTGCCACCACGCCTGGCTAATTTTTAGTGTGTTTTTAGTAGAAACGGGGTTTTATCATGTTAGCCAGGCTGGTCTCGAACTCCTGATTTCAGGTGATCCACCCGCCTCAAGGCCTCCCAAAGTGCTGGGATTCCAGGCCTGAGCCACTGAGCCTGGCCGGAATTAAGTGGCTTCTGAATGAGCACAATGGGTGTCAGAAATCATCTCTCTCTGGCATTCAAGAAATGTGGATTGGCTGATTTTTTTTTTCTATATATTCAGTCCTTACATGAACAGGGATTCTGACTCTAGCAGGCCCTGCAGTCTTTAGGGACGGCCCTAGCCTTCACCCTCACCAGGACTGGGTCCACCTTCTCATGCTGTACGTCCTGCCACACTGTCCGATATGGTAGTCAAAGCCACACACAATGTTTACAATTCAGTCAACATTAAGCAGGACTCAAGAATGGGTGCCCACTGCAAGGAGACCCTGCCCCTGCTCCTGCTGCTGGGGGGAGGCCCGCCCTCGGGATGCCCTCTGGCCTCACCTTTCATCCAGCTTAGGGTGTATTCTCGTCGGCAGCTGGGGCTGACACAGTGCGACGTGTAGAAGGTGCCGTGGGCCTCCACCAGGTCCTCTTGCTCTAGCCCTGCTATTCGCTCCAGCGTGTCTATGTTCTGGAGGGAGAGATGGAGGGAAGAGGGGTCAGGAGTGAACCGCCACTTATAGGCCAGAAGGCACAGTGGGCAGCTGAGGCCACAAGAAGCAGTGGGGGGGGGGGGGGGGGGGGGGGGGGGGGGGAGGAGAAGCAAGTGGCAGGGCGCATCTGAAGACTCTTCTGTTCATCCCAATGGTGCCACTCAAAGGGTGAGTCATGGCTGCTTAAAGGCAGGGGCCAGGCTGGGCTCACACCTGTAATCCCAGCACTTTGGGAGGTCGAGTGGGAGGATCACTTAAGCCCAGGAGTTCAAGACCAGCCTGAGCAACATAGCAAGATCCCGTCTCTACAAAAAATAAAAAATGCAAAAAAAAAAAAAAAAAGTGGGGGACCCAAACCTAACTGTCTGTGAGGCCAGACCCATGACCACTCAGCCGATGTGGCTATTTTTTCTGCAAATTTGGGCCATTTGCTCCCATTTTTCAGAAAAAAAGTTGTTTTGTTAGAG